TTTTGATATAAATGAATCACATGACAGGACTGACATGACTTACATTATTTACATTACGATTTACGTGACTCCTGTGCTTGGGCCATGCACTTTAAGTGGATGTGTTTGTTATACTTCTTCTGCCTTTTGTATGGTGAGTGAGGTAGCCGGGGACCATTTAATTGATAAGTGGCAATGCATTTACAAACCTACGGTTGCAAATGTCCATGGATGGCGGTTATCACTTGAAATTAGATGAACCGATAGCTCGGACGTCATCTTCTTACGTTAAAAAAACGTGTGTACTTATGTACAAGCACATACATACATACAAGAAGTGATACTTATTAAGCGTAACAAAAGAAAAATAACCAAAAATTGTATCCCCCGTGCCTGCGGCACTATTTTTTGTGATAAGAGATCAAATGCAATTTATAAAGGTTTGATTGACTTGGAATCATAGGTACCTAAATGTCAAGATGCTATTTGTTGCCATGGTAATACCGTGAAGGTGGTCGATTTACATCTAACTTCATCAAGTCGGTGTCTGTGTGCACGCGCATCGTAAAAATGTTACTGTCACATTTTTTTCCAAACGCTCCAAAAGAAGAATAACTTCTTAAATAGACAAAGTCACTAAAATATAGTAGACACTAACGGACTTAGATGATTTACTATATTAGTAGTTACTCAACGCTTGGTGTGTCACACTTGAGTAAAGATTACTTTTCTGCACGCCTTACTCAAAAGTATTTATAAATCAGCATTATGTAAAGGAATCATGATCGTGTGAAGTTTTAAACGCAATAACAGATTGAGGGTTATTATTTTCAAGGAAGTGTTATGTCATAGTCGTTAACTATCGGTGCCGTGACAAAGTCACTAGATGATTTTATGATTATCTATCGGGTTGTAAAAAAAATATTTAGGTATAGCGAACACGATCGCCTTTATTACAAACTGAAATGAAAATGTATTGCTTATTCGCTCTACTTATCACCACCTCTCAGGTCATACAATTGACTATAAGGGATGATAAAATGAAATTGGATATGCTTGAAATTTTACGGATTTTATGGATAACATGTAAATTTTGATAACTTAACATCTGACACGTGTTAAACATAGTCTTTATGCATTTACATAAGTAAAACAGCATTTATTTCTACATAGTAATTATCAAATTGAGTAGACCAATTTAATATTAGAAATTTGCTAGACACTTTTTACATTGTTAATGGCTACGATATATTTTAGCCCAATCTAGCCCTCTAAAAGATTTTGAAAATATTTGACTTGCAGACTACAACTTTAAAGTTTTACCTTGGAATTTTGAAATAATGTAGAAAGTAGTTTCGTTACTTTATTTTCGATGCATTTAAAGAAGTTCTCTATCTTTCCACCAGAGTTTAGAAATTTATGAAATTTGAATGTCGTCTATTAAGTAAAGCTAGATCAATATATAGGTAAAGCATAACAATTTGAATCTGGCTGGTTTCTCGGGATTTCGATTTATACTTTTGTTACTTATATATGAATAGATATATTTGCAATCTATATATGTATATTTCATCAAGATCCGTCACGAATTATTCTTTCTTTTCGCAGTTTAGTTAAAATTGATTTTAAATTGACATTTGTAAAATACGGGCGTACCATTTAATGTCACAATTACGCCCAATTCTCGCAAATAGAACCGAATACCCCATAAGAATGTCTGAAGTTTCCAATTAAATATGTCAGCGCTCATTAACAATCATAACGTCAGCAATTGGGCGCTAGCACCGCACCATTTGTGGGTTAAGTTGAGGAAAACCTTGTTAAGTATTCGCTGCACAGATAACAATGCTCGGGTGTGGACCAAGCATGACGTTGGCATCGTAGTAACTTATGTAACACAACAATAAATGGAGGCACACTCATTGATGGCGATTTACCGCAAGCTGCATTGACTGATAACAAATCTATTTTCCGTGCGGGCGTTAATTCTGACACGTTATTGTCATAAAAATCCCCGTAGCTAGTAGATTCACCTGAACAGAAACGTTTGAATTAAAAGCTCAATGTTTTAAAGACATAAATAAAACATCTGAAAAATCTTTAATACTATTTAAATATAAACCATGCATGCTTTCTCAATTATGGGATCAACAAATATACAACAAGAATTTATAAGGAAACAAGTGTTTGTTTTTATCAAAAAATTAAAGGTAAAGTTAATGAAAAAATAAAAGCTATACAAACTTCAGAATCTTTAGTTAAGAAAATATACAAAACGCTTAGTTTGGACGCCCATAGAAAACGTGGGTAATTTTTTAAGATTAAATATCTTTAAAAATAAGATTACATAGAATACCCTATGAAAAAAATTGAAAAATGTGGCATTTTTAAACATTCATTTTTCTATCAAAATTTGTAATCCTCATTTTTAAGGATAAGCATTTTACAATTTTATGAAAAAAATCTAATAATATAATTTGTTGTGAATTACGTATTAATTAAAAACATTTAAAAATTACTATGATTTCTTACTTTTTTCATTATTTGCAGATTTCAAATGAAAATGATGTGGAAAATATAAAGTGCCTTATTATTTTGATGATTTTAAGTTCATCCTAAACTATGACGACTTGTGAAAGAATTTATAAATTATACGAAACGATACGATACGAACGTATAATTATATCGTAACCAATTGCCATTACGTATACATAATTGTTGTCTATACGTTTTAAATGGCGCATTAATTTGCATATACCCGATGTTGCATGATTGATTTGCCTGTGTGATATATGTCTTCCCATGCGTCAATATGAATGTTTGTGAAATAGTAGAAACGAAACTGCAATAACAGTTTTTTTTTAAATTACGGTCAATAAATATCTGTACACACCACTGATTTATCTGTCAAAGTTCAAAGTAGTGACATTTACCAGTAACAGTTTCTTAAGACCAATTTAGCACTACCGCTAAGCGATAGGCACGCACGCACCTTATAAATTAAATTTTAAGATTAACATCGGGTTTCAATACTCTATCTACAAGTAAATTACTAGCGATAGGTATTTGACATTAGCTCCGTAATATGTCAAAATTCTATCGCCAGTAACGATATAGTCATATCCGTAGATAGAATATTGAAACCGCGTAGAGGGTAAAAAAATCACAATAAGACGAGGAGGGATAATCTCAACACACTGTGGGTTTTTTATTACAAAATGGTTCACTTGGATTAAATTATTCCAAACTTTTCCAAACCCATTAAAGCAGATGTTCCTGTGGCTTTATTTAGGGTTTATTTGTCCCTAAGTAAGGAAACAGATCGGCGGCGACGACTATTTATTGGAGTGCATTAATGGCGAATATATTCGCGGGCGCTTCTAATGTTCTCTTCGATAAGACAATGTGTTTAAAACAATGGCAGCTATCTACATTATTTATGTGATCTCCGTATATCGCTTTGATGGATGGTGAGGTTGGTCGTGTGTTTCGCAAATATTCCCAAAGCAAAAAGTTTGGATCGTAGTTCGTCAGAGATTACACTCTTCTAATTGACTGCTGTATGCATAACCACACCAAGATTACGGTAACGTTAAGAGTTTATAATCAACTTTAGACGAAATCTACAAGACCAAGAACCCATTGGAAGTAACAACTTTAGCAACACTTGTTATTAGTTAATTTCATGTTAATTAACATTGTCAAGGGTGTTTGGCGCATAAGCCAAACACCCTTGACATTTAGTCTCTATGTTCTTAACTTGATACCCAGAGAAATAGACTTGATAATTTGTCCCCTGAGTGAGTTCATAAAGCTATATCATATATTATTTGAATAATATGGTATATTAGTGTGGTACGTAGTATAGTTACACGATAGTAATCAAAGAACCTATAATAAAGGGCACAATTAACTTCAAAATGATAAAGCTTATGTCCTTAGATCACGCTTTTATTGCGAATAGCGGTTGTCAATTATTTATTCCGAGTCACAGCCCTGTCGGCGCCCGTAAATTCCATCAACACAGGGTTGTTGCGAAACGTTGCTGACTATGAATAAATTGAGCGAAATATGCGACTTGGATATTCATGGCAATGCTTCTATGTGACCATGTGAACTTGACCTATTTTTCAATGGAAGGCTCAAAAATTCAAATAAAGTGGAACGTAGAGCGACTCCTCGTACCCCACACTACTTTCCAGAAGTTCCGATGAATCTTTTAGTATTCAGTTTATGATAGTTTTTTTTAAACGCACACCGCGATTCCTAGCTGCTAGATCAGGATTGAATTTTTGTATTGTTACAATAATTTCCCACGTTTGTACATCTGTCCAAAAATACATTGGTCATTTATTTTATGGAGCTATATATTATAGTTAACGGTTTAGTAATAATTTTCTTATACAATTTTACTAATAACATTGTATTTTCACCTCAACAACATCAACATAAATATAAGAGAATTAGTGCATATACATAAGAAAATGAATATCATTTTGAGAAGTGATAGTCAATGATTATTGAATACAAAATAGTGTTCTACACACAAATATTCTGTGCCTAAATTACCTGGTTGTATTACTTTAGAAACAATATTAAAATTCTAAAAATATTGTCATAGGGGTCCTTAAAATAAGTAACGTTAAAAAAATGCATGAATAAGATTTTTTGTCCAACTGTACTATACTTGCAGTAATTATAAAACATCCCTATTTTTACCCATCCCTCTAAGTGTTGTACATAGCGATCGCCTAAAACGAAACATCTAGCGAATATCGCTATTAGGAACGGTTATGCCGAGCGATTTTCGTTCGAAAGTCAAAGGGCATACGGCGCGGTGTAACGTACGAAATTGTTCGCCGTCTAAACTCTGAACAAGTTCGAGAAAACGCCGTAGCGAATCTCAATCCTTGGCGCAGGAGGCAGAGCAGAACACTCGGCTCGAGAGAGGGGCTGCTTAATAAATAGACGGGCGCGGCTTCGTGGAAGGCAGTCGCGACGGCGGTCACCTCGGTACCAAAATGAGGACGCTGGAAATCACGGTGGGTGCCCAGTGATGTGCTGTGATTATATTTCCTCTTCACCCCAGTAGTGGATACAATTCGCCTGTCTCGATCGGCCTTAATAGGCGTTTTCGTGTGATCTGTTTTAAAGTATCAGCTGTTGTTTTTTAATTATATTTACGCACCGGCCCAAATGTACTTACAATATTATTGAAGTGCTAGTGCGATATGAGGGGTTCAGGATATTCCGCGATCGATTATAAAGGGAAAATTGCACGATATTAATATATATATATATATATTTGTGTATCGCCAATTTTTCAACCTGTATGTTATTGAAATTAAATTGAGAATGTTTATCATTCAGTGTTTTTGAAATTAATGTTCTTTTTTTATGAAAAGAACTGTTTCCAGTTTTTATAATTCATTTTTAATTTATTTCTTCAGTTTTAATTTATTTCCCTGATAACTAATTAATTGAACAAATAATTGTTTATTTATTCATCACCATTCACCGAACTCCTATTTTCTTCTTTGATTTCATTTATTTTAAACATGAAATTTTATTTTCAGTTGTGGTTGCTGCTTGCGTTGGCAGCGGTATTAGCCGTGCCCGTTAAGGACAAGGATGTTGAGAAGGATGAGTCAGCGAGAGAGAAGCGCTCACCAAGTGGCTGGCATTCCCCTCCTGAAGGTATTTGGAAGAAAAAACTCGTCTGGAAGGAGGAATGGAAACAGATATGGAAAACGGAAAAGAAATTAGTTTGGAAGCCTGAATGGAAGAAAGAAAAGGTACCTGCCTGGAAAACTGAGAAGATCCAACAATGGAAAGAGGAGCAAGTACCGGACTGGAAAATAGTACAGAAACCAATTTGGAAGGAGGTTCAAGTACCCATATGGAAAGAAGTACAGGTACCCGACTGGAAGAAAGTATGGAAACCAGTCTGGAAAGAAATTCAAGTTCCGATCACGAAAGACGTGCAGGTGCCTGAATGGAAACAGTCTTACATCCCTGAATGGGTTAAGGAAGGTATCCCCGGTGAAAAGTTCTTAGGTAAGGACGACCATGGTTGGGAATACACCAGTCATGACTTGTGGAGAAAGAAGATGATTTGGAAACCAGTATGGAAGAAGGTGTGGAAAACTGTCCAGAAACAGGAATGGGTAACCGATAAGAAACTCGAATGGAAAGAGGAGTGGAAACAGATCTGGAGAACCGAGAAGAAACAAGCTTGGGTAACGGAGAAAAAGCAGGAGTGGGTGGAAGAGAAGGTCCAAGTATGGAAGACGATCAAAAAGGAAATTTGGGTACCGGTTCAAAAGAAAATCTGGGTAGAGAAATGGAAGCAGATTCAAGTACCTGTATGGAAAACGATAGAGGTTCCTGCCTGGAAGAAGGTTTGGAAACCAGTGTGGGAGAAAGTGTGGGTTCCGATCCATCACGACCACCATGGATGGGACTAAAGTAGGTAGAACCATGACCCATTTCCCTGTACATATAGAATTTTTTACAACATAGTCATTTTGTTAACTAATTGTTACCACAAGAACCCAAGATATTTTGTTTTCATAGTCATGTAAATATATTGATAATACTCGATAATATCTGTGGTGCTGGTAAGTGAATTATTCGTACAATATAATAGGCGTGCGCGAAGGCAATTACCTATTTTGGCTATAAGCGAACGTTTCTAAATTTCAATTTTCGCCCGCGTCTGCAGCTTTGCGTGCGCCTAGGAAATTAATACATTAATTGAAACCCTGTGCTTTGTATGCACTCTTTGAATCTATGGATCGATGACAATGCTTACCACCTGAAGATCTATGACTTCAAAGTTTATGGTTATTTTTCTATGAAAGTAGCTTTAACTCGTCATTACATATAAATTGTATTCAAAATTCAGATATATGTGAAAAGTCAGTAATTTGTGTATGCATGTTTTGTATGCATTTATTAGCCCATTCTGTAACACATTTGCGGGTAACGCAAATGTGAAGAAGATTGGAAAACGTTTAAGGAGATATTAATTCAATAGTAACTTTATTTCGATTGATATTCGAAACTTTATGAGGCTTGAATTTGTTATCTATTACCAAATATTATTATTTTGTATCTTAGTTTATTTTATTTAATTACTAATACTTAAATTTAGAGAAAGTTCGAGATGGAAGATGTGTATAGTACAATGTTGATGTTTATGTTTTACGTTTATTTCTGCAGTTTTTCAAAGTTTTAGAAAATATACGTTTTATGATACTCAACGTCTTTTATTTTCCTTTACAAATACTTAAGTGATAAAAAGGTTATTGAATTCAGAGTCATTATGGATTAGTAACAATCAATAACTTAACTTACACAATACGAAGTCGCAAAATGCCTGAGCAATTAAAACTTGCGAAGTAAGTAGATTTGAGGTTTCCGTGCTTACAGATTAAACAACGAATAAATGTAAGAAAATCTAAGAGTAATATAATAAGACTTTAAAACTTTGGATGAAACTTTGTAATTGCTTTACAAATTTTCTATTACAAATTTAAATGATTTCTATTGAGTATTGAAATGAATATAGCCGAGTTTTAAGTACGTTATAAGTACAACACTTAAAAAGCTGAATGTATAATAAACATGGTATTAAGATTGTTATTAATTGGGTGAAATATCTTTCAGACTAGGATTGAAAGAAGAGTTTTATTGAATATGATGTAGTAGTAACACAGTATACAAAAGGTGGATTTTTTCATACATCTGTATGGTAACCTAGGTTATCCGTGACTTACTAAGCATGTATGCATTAGTAAGACCTCGTGGCGTCTAATTTAATTAAAAGAATTGCACAGATTTTTGTCATGCTTTTCATTTCCTTGCCAGACGGTTAAGGGACGCGATTGTCAGTATACACAAAAAACATCGTATGATTACATAAAATTAATAAAAGCAAACAATTTACTTACTTGAAACATCAAAATAATACTTTGGAGCCAAAAAAAATTTATAATACAATAACACTTATTATTCTGCTTATGAATTAAATTAATACAAAAAGGAAAAACTTTAAATTAATCAGTGACAGGGTCATAGCAATATAAAGAGCTAGAACTCTGAGGTCAAGCGTGGACAAAGCTAACAGCTTTTTCCATAGTCCTTACATAACGGATAGCAGACATAAAACAGGTTTCATACATTGCGCAAATATTAGTGTCACGTTTAGTGCTTAAATGGGAACCTAGATGCATCGCTGTTTGAATATCACCGTAGATTATCTCGCAAAGAAACTTTCTCTTTCAATTGTTGTTGCAGCATTGTAATTGAAGTATGAATTCGTGGCACAACGCTGTTCGTACATATAAGTAAGATGTTTCTATGTTAATCTCGGCAAAATAGTATTTACTTTCACAATCCGCGCGTTCGTGAACTTCTGCCGAGTGCCAACATTCGTAAGCCCTTGTAGGCTTCTGCTTGGGTAAATATCGTGTCGTTTTCGTTCGAGCCGTTAATTCAAATTCTAGACGCTTGCGTCGAATGAAACGTCCAATTTTACATAAATAATTAATACACAAGTTCGTATGTAAATATGTTACCATCGTTAATTACAATTAAAGCATACATAACATCAACATAAAATAACCAAATTCTGTACGAAATCTCAAAATGTTTAATGCAATGGTTAAAATAATAAAAAAATCTGTGGTTCTATTCATACATAATTATATAATAAAGCAGACAGAAATTAATACAAAAAGATGATTACGGGCCTTCCTGAATAAAATGGCGTGTCATAAATTTATTTTAATACAAAATACAATATGATAAGGTGATAATAATTATGCGAAGAACAATGCCAACACAAACATGATGTTTTGATAGGCGGAATTTAAATATTTAACTGTTTGGTCAAGGAGGAAATAATTGCCCATTAAAACGCAGGAAGCAAGCGTAATTCACCTTTGTTTTAAAAATTGACTGGGTTTGATGTAGTTACGGTTATATATCTGAGATTTAAGGACCAAATTTGCTTAGACAGAACCTAAGCCTATGTTGTGCTGAGTCAGAAGACTCTATTATTTTACCTTCTTAAACAATAGACCACAAAATTAGGTGAGCGAAGATGCACCATGAATTGAACACGCTGGAGCGGGCTGTGTTTACAAAAGCAAAAAATAGCCTGTCAAGGATTGAGTATGAAGCTTGCATTTTATGATTTTCCTGCCTTTTCGGCCCAAACTATACAAATAATGCTGAAATAAATTGTGTATTTGTCTGTGTTATATTATAAAATAAAATATTGTGGTTCACAAGTTCGACATGGTACCTTCCCGAGTATATAAGTCAACATCTGGAACATGAGGTATGCTGTAATACAAATGGTTAATTGTTTTGTGAGATACGTTGAGTCTAGTTATACTAGACTATATGAGTAGATGTACCAGTAGTACTAAAAGTAACAACCAACAAATCATAAAAACCCTGAATACATAAAAAGAAACATTTGAAGTCACAACATAAATACCATTGAAAAATATCTATTTGTTTTAATAATATAACTTTAAATTTTGGTATCCACTTACTTTATATATTTGAACCTCTTTTTTTAATCAAAATACATTAAAGAAGGTACTTATAAAATGTTTAAGATATGCTAGTGAGTTAATATCCGTAAACCTGTGAATGTGCATTCATCTACTTTTAAAGTTCTCACCCAAAAAACAAGCCAAGATAAATGAGATGATAGAACAAAAGACATCTACGAAAATGAATAAATCCTCGTTCCTGCTTGAGATATCGTTAAGAACAGGTTTAAACATACTGGGCAGATGCGACTGGTGGTGTATTTAATAATATATTTAAGTCCAGAGGATGCCAGGCGTGAGGTAGAGGAAGCTTTAGCCATACATACCTTGTTAGCTTTGATGTGGTACTGTATATGTTATACCACAACTAAATTTTACCATATATAGGGCTAACAAACTGAAATGACAATACAAACATGAATAAGCCCTTATATATAATCCTGGTATAATTTATTGCAGTTTTCATGTAAAACAGATCCCAGTCACTCTACGAGTACATTAGAGATTGTAGATGACAAATATTTTCCACTCTAAGTCCTAATGGGGTATTGATTACACAATCCGAACTTAATGTTTATCCACTCGTGGCTATCCAAGTGCCCTATCACCCAAGTACTGTTACAAAAGCCCCCTTAATGAACCTGTTTGAAACTTGAGCACTTGATAGCACTTTGATCGGACAGCAAATGGTAATATAATAATATGCAAATAAGTATTTATCAATTAAAATTTTTATTCATTGTCTGGGCGCATTGTACGAAATCTTTTGACGACGTATGTAAACCCTGTTATATATTTTTAAGTTTCATATTAAGTGCAGTAAAATACTAGCACTAAAACTTTTTATTACCTCTTTAAATAAATAAAAAAACTACGTTTTTTATTACTTCTTTACATTAATGCGTGATTGTACTATCGGTTCTAATATTATTTTAATTTAAAGAATAAAATTATTGAATTATAAATAGAAAGTCCAGTTGAAAAGGCTCATAATTATTGTATCATAAAGCATTCTTCAAAGTGCCACCTTCGGTAATTCCTTTAGTCAATTTACAATGGCCGATTACAATGTATTTGAGACTCGCACGCAGCAGTCGAGAAATGGGACTTGTTCGACGCGTAATTATAGACTACATAAGACCATAAGCCAACGCTAAGTTTCACCCCGGGAAGTGAGCGTGGAAACATCTCCAAGCGAGAGGTCAAGCAGCGATGACGCAAGTGACGCTGGCACCTGCTGGAACAAACGGCGCGATTAAATCGTTCGTATGGCGTGCAATCGTACAAAAAACATGCAAACACAGTATTAGACAGTTCATTCGTTACGCAATGACTTTTAAATTATTACAATAATGTACTAAACTACTAAATTACGCTTTGAAAAGCAATAAATTGACATATTTCTTATTATTTTTGTCGTACAATATTTTTTCAAATATTTCCGCTATTTCTCTATAAATAGACACGATTTAGATAAGATCTACGAGTCTATTCTTAATTATTAGGGAATATTAAAATATTTTGTTTACTTGGATAGAGTATGTCAAGCGGGCAATGCAAATTGTTGAGGAGTTATGTGCATATTTTTTGTTGAGTTTAATGTAATTACTACATTAATTCAGTTAATTAATGAAGACCTCAAACACAAATTACTAAGGCTGACACTATACACTTCTTCGACAAAAACCTGTCCGAAGCATAAAAAAAACAAAAGAAAACATAGCAGACCCAAACCATGCCTTGTTTCGCGCATAGATTAAAGTTGTTTCGCAACAACAGCACTTATTTAACTCCCACGTATCTTTATCTAAGGGGTTACGCATTTCACGCATAACAAATGTTTCGGCATCTTAACGATTTTAATGCAGACCCGGTGAAAGTTTCTTTTTTTA